GAAACTATTTCACGGATGCACAAAATTCTCAAAAGACTTTTTACACAAAGACATGAAAGAAATGGAGTCCTGATGCCGGCGTCCTTCTTAATCTTTAGAGTACCCACCTTGTCGTACTTGTGCACAAACCTACCAATTAACATGCCTAGTAGGAGACACCTGTAAAGTGTAATGCTTGTCCACAAAATTGTTTTTTAGTCAGCTTGTTGTAAATACCTCAATATTTTCAACATGTCCACATTCGACTAATATTATGATATTTTAATTGACTAACAGTCCGGTGCAGAGAAAAACAGGTAGAGGGCCTATGCCCATATCAAGAGAACAGTCCAATTTCCACACAGCGCATTTTTGCATTCCGTGTTAAGACTAAATTTATGACACTGTTTGAATTTAACAACAGTCAGTACCCTTACCCCCATTGACATGATTAAGGCATTATGAACATGATGAACAACAGAACAAATTTGAAAACTGAAGTTTTTCATTTCAACATTACATGGCATGAGTCAAGTTGATGGGAACGTCTACTTCTGGAAACCAACACTACAGTACACTACACCTGTACATTGTACATGTATGCACCTGTGCGTCCACAGGCCTGGGTCTTTTTGTATTGCACGATGTACATGTACAGGTATATTTAGCCCTCGGCCTAAATCATGAGACCGTGACGAGGCTAACGTTTGGCCTACCGGTACGTACATCATGTACATGTAGCAAGATGCCTTCGCAGACGCTAGACGTAACCAATGAAATTCCTCCGAAAGACTTGTGAGTGTGACATTAAATACATTTCACCTCATTAATTCTGACATTTTAGTCTCAAACCCAGTACTGTTATAAACAACTTACACGGGCTTTCCTGATAATGTATCGGATCAGTGACCAGATGCTTGTTCCGTTTACACCGTAGGCCTGTAGTCTATGGTCACACTGCTATAAGCTATATATGCACACTGCAGTCTCTTTTTAATAGCAAAGATTGTATAGCGCCGCTGTAGTCGAGTACTAGTAGTCATCATTGATCTCCATTATCCAGCCCAAGCTGAGAAGTGCACCCCCAAACGGCGAAAGAAAGACATGTGGTTACCGGTTACAAGCGAGTTCATTGCGGAATAAATCAACTGTGTCCTTTTTGATCACCCCTATTTTTGTAAACAGATCATGCCAATCTACAGGAGATTGATCACCTCTATTTATAAATAGAGCACCCTATCTTGCTAGATGCAAATTTGTCTATAGCATTCCTTCAGTATGCTATAATAATAATAATAATAATACAAAAGCATTTATAAGG